TAATCTTCCCTCCTTCCTTTGCTTGAAGAATAAGAAGTTTTTGGCCCTTGGTTAAGATTTATTGTTGTTGTTTGAAATGTATGTAACACGAGCGAAAACTGCACGGGTAATTCAACCACGTACTATAGGAAACGACAATTTGGGATGGATGTAATTGTCGTCTGGACAACATTGACTCATCATGGTCCTTGTCGGAAGTCTTCCAGTTACAATGCCTCATGCTATGCGTCATTTTTCCTTGTGCCCTATCACAGTCTCCATTTGGTCGACCTTGAAGTGTCTGCATGGCATCTTGACCCCTGCAAAACAATTTGACGAATGGCTTACATGCATTCTTGAACCCTTTGGATACGTATCCCTTGAAATTGGTTGTACCTAGAGGTTTTTTTGGTCGTTGATGCGTTATGTACTAAACGCCCTGAGCAACAAGCCGCTTTCAGCCACCTCGAGACCTCATACATCGCTTCTGCTTGAGTTGTTGCGCCCCAGCTTGGGATTGACTGACAGCATCGAGTTCTGTAAATGGCGCGATGAGCGAAGTTGCTTATAACCACCAACTTTGACACAAATTGGACCCACTTAAGATAAACCCAAATCTCATCAGCTTTTCCAAGCGTCCTGCAATTAAATTTACAGCTACTTCAAATTCCTCTCATCTGCTCAAACACGATTGGTATTTTACCCCAGCTCATCATGCAATTTTCAAAATTAGTAATAATCGTGTCGATTGTAGGTTGTGGGTTTGCAGCAGCTGCACAGTTAACAAAGGAGCAAAAAACGAAGTGTACTTTTACTTGCGCCAATCACGTCAAGTTAACAGCTGGAGGATGCGCAAAACCGATTGGCAGTGACAGCCAAGGAAATCCAACCGGATGGGAATGTCAGTGCTAAACTTATCTCATTTTCGTTTTCATCACACAAACACGTAGAGTCAGCCCTCAAGTTAAAACTTGCCTTGTCCCATGTGTTCAAATCACTAGTGATCCAAGCACACTCAACAGAAAATCACAAGGCCTATTTCAATTGCATCGGCACCGAGATGGCTTTCAGTACTTGCTGTTTGCCTGATATATTTTCAAAGGATGGGGTCAGTAAAGTCCTTTGGATCTTCTCCACTCACTTCATTCAAAAATCATACAATAATTAATCCAAATGTCCCCAAACTTCACTGCCAAAGACGACGATCACCATCAACGGAGATATTGCCCCTCTGATATACCACAGGTCATGCCAAGACACGTCTCCTCAGTCTACGGATTTCAGCAAATTTCCAAAGGATTGTAAGAACTGATGTTGACAGATACATCCCGAATTCACATAAATATGTTAAGATCCTACAAGGACAATAGGAGTTGGCTATGGAAACTTTCATGTGTTGGAGAAGTAGTTCATCATTATATACTAGGCGTTGTAAGACTCAAAAGTGGTTGTGAAACCCTTTTGCTGAATTGAGAAGGGGAAAAATGGAGGTGCAAACTCTGCCCTTCTATACTATCAGAAACAAGACCCCCAAGCTTAGCTTGGAAAGTTTTAATAACGTGATAGGATTGGTCGGTTCCGGTATAAAATTTGTTTTATGAAAAGTAAAGGTTGAATATGTAATTGCTGATAAAATAAAACTGTTATGTTATGTAACAGGTGAAAGGCTTATATACTTGTTTTTAACTGGTGAGTTGTATATTGATTGACTGCTAAGTGATGTACTGAGTGAATGAGTAGTGAACTGGAATGAGGAATGAGTAGATGAGTGAGGAGACAACAAATGGGGGGAAGAGAGCCTCCTTTTATAGACAACTGTGAGGGAATTCAGCTCCAGGGCAGACAAGAAAGAGTGATTTTAGCTGGCCTGGAGGCACAAATGAGTGAATTTAGCTAGTCTGATCATGCAAGTGAGGGAAATTAACCAGTGAGGCTGTGTACAATTAATGTCAAAGGCTGTGCTGCAGTGCGTAAATAATGTGAGAAAGTGTCAAATGAGGCAATAAATTGTGGGAAAAATCCAGCTGTTGTCATAAATGAGGTGAGAAAATTAATAAACTGTGGGAAAAGTAATTCAATCAAGACTGCGCAGCCTGCAAAGGCAGTGCATGAGGTGACAAATAAAACCAAACTAATTTATGCGGTGGGGATAAAGAGGTGTGGGAAATTATGTGTATACCGTGAGCTGTGTATAAGCATAACTGAGAGGTGATTTGAAAGGTGTGACATGTGTTGACTGGGTATTGGCTTGTGATATGCGTCCGTAGGGGTGTAACTTCCAATCCGTGAGGGTTCCAAGGGTGCGTTCAGTGGTGACCTAGGCTGAAATTGTCCGTAGAGTCCATTTCTGATGCCGTATTGGTTGATTTCTGAATGAATGTATGAGGAAAATGTATATAAAAGAAAAACTTTGAATTTTTTTTTACATATTTAATTACCACAGCGTATAATCAAATTTCGCTTTCATGCTCTTGTTGTACAAAATATTACTTTGAGACACATTTCATCTCCCCAAAAGAACTGTCAATATGTGTTTCTATTGCTTCCCATTTAGACAAGCCATTATGTTGTGCCTGGTCACAAAATGCAAGACCAGTTCGTAACCTCAAGTTCCAGCATTTGGTTTTGAGAGGGAAATAATGAGATTGTTGGTTGACTTCGTCTTCTTAGAAAAGGATTTGAAAAGTCACTTACTGTATATTTTCCAACTTAGCAAGTTGGAGGACATTTTGAGATTTTTGTGTGATGAAATTGATGCAAGGGAATTGGAAAGATGAATTCATTAGGAAAAGAAATCACTGATCATTCTTCCACTTACAGTGTAAGCTGTGTATCTATCTATTCAATAGTAACCTAGAATCAAGTCAAAACTGAAAAGTGGAGCCCTTCAAAACTGAATTCATAGTCCTTGTCATTTTGGGCTCCAAGAGTTGATGTCAACATTTCCCAAAATGTGCCCTCAATTAATCTTTCAAGAAATTCACCAAATATGTGTATGAGCTGTTTTTTGACTTGCCTCATAGGTCAAGCAGGGTTATTATGAAGGGTGTTTGTCGATTGGAGTGATGCAAGGCTAAGCAAACCAAGACAATCAACATATTTACAATTTTCAAAAAAAGAAGCTAAGAATGTAAGATCTTCGATCGGAGGCGCAACAACAGAACGAGGGGGTGTGATCATGTTGGTTTGCCAAGAAGAAGAAGATTATTGGGTGGGTGCTCCAGCCTCCAAATCTGGTTTGATTCATCCGGTTGCAAAGCACTGCCTGGCTGTAGACACGAGTGCACTTGCTTAACCCTGAATGAGATGGTGCTCGCGCGACAGCTGGCGGAAGTTGATGGATTCAGTATCTTAGGAATCTTTCAAAGGTATGTGAAATTTGGTGATACATACCGTGGCTATAGCTGGTTTTCAGCAGGTTTCAGCCACCTCATCCATGACTTCCCCCCCCCCCCTTGTAGTCATGAACTTGTGACGCCTCAACTCGGGATTACCTGGCAGCACCGCATTGAGTACTATAAAAGGAGATGTTTGCCGGTGCCCTAGACATGCAGCTTCATCCACAACCCAGACCTCATCAAAAGTCCATCTCTCCTGAACAGCTTTGCTAAGACAAACTGAAACCCTATCAGGTCTTCCAAGCGTATTCTAAACTACCTGAATTCTCTCTTGTTCGTTCAAAGACAATCGGCGTTTTTTTTTGCTTTACCCACCTTATCATGCTATTTTCAAAACCATTGATCATTGTGTCGATGATAGCTTGCGGGTTTGTAGGGGCTACCGAGTTGACAAAGGAGCAGAAAACAAAGTGCACTTTTACTTGCAGCAATTACCCCCACATGCACGATGGAGGCTGCGGAAAACACATAGAGCGAGACGCCGAAGGCAAACCAATCAAATGGCAATGTCAGTCTTATATAAACTTATCTCAATTTCTGTTGTGGCCACCTTCACAGCATTCTAGTTAAACTGATTTGTCCTGTTTGTTTAAATCAACAGTGGTCAAAGCACATCGAACAGAAAAACATCCAGGATATTTCAATTGTCTTGGCACTGATATGGCTTTCAGCGCTTGCTGTTTGCCTAACAAACTTCCAAAGGATGGGGTCAGTAGAGTCTCACAACATCTTATCCTCTCCACTCGATTTGTTGCCAAAGCACACACAATTGACCCAATTAATCTCTGTTGGTGTCTCTTCAAATAAACTATTTCTGAATGATAGACGTTGACCTTGATGAACAAAAAGAACGACCCTCAAGCATATGACAATTTATGTCGAGACAGCAAGCCAGATAGAATCGCTATGCGACTTGAAGGTTGCAGCCCTTAGAAATGATCGATAAATAATACATAGATCCCAAACGTACGGAGCCGAGCATCCGCCATCGAATTTGCGCTTAAGTTTTCTTTTCTTGCTCTTCAGGGCGCAGAATCCTGTCCCTAATTGTCAATCCAATTAACATATTTATGTACCACCAAAACGTGTGAAATGAGTGTATGTTAAGTTGTCACATCAGCTCTTGTTGTACCTTGTGCAAAGTGTTTTCAAACAGTTGTCTAAAAAAGCGCTACCTGCATCCCAATTGGCTTTCCGATATAATTGTGTCTTCCCCGTGTAGAACATGTGTCTTCTGATTCTTTGAATTTCTTCTGTTGCTAAAAATCTAGCTGATCATCAATGAAGTTTCCCCCGTTTTTCTTGATGGAATTCTGGGAGGAGGTTGTGAGCTTCCATGGGTTTCATGAGAGCTTGACTCTGTGAGGTTGCAAGCAGTAGATTGGATCATATGCTCGGGGTGTCGTTTCGTTGGCGGGAGGTCATCCAGTTTAGTTGCAGCGATGCCACCGACTTGGACATCTTCGTCTTTGACCTGTTATTTTTGTTTTGTTTTGTTTCGTAAACATTGAGGTTTATAGGAATCAACTGTGGAAGTGATTTTGTGTTGTGTGGGCACTTGGGTGCAGGTCGAGTAGGGTTCAAACTTTACGTGAGCGTGTGTAGTTCGGCATTCTAAATCTGCAAGAGTTTCAAATCTGCTCATCAACCACCAACGGCGTCATCCTATTCCTCATCCACCACACATACTCCGAAAACCAGCCACAAAGCGAGCCAGCCGAACGATGTCAAGCTCAACGAAACCACCAAGCCCACAACTGCCATTGATCGACCTACGATCGAGGTACATTAGTCCATTCACACATACCCAAATTTCTGTCAAAAGAAAAGAAAAAAAAAACCCTTTCCGATTGTCTTCGTTTACTAGTTCTCTCAAATGAATCAGACTTGGATACTGACTTGCTTTTTTGTTTTGTATCTTGATCTATCGTTCGATCGTTGGTCGGTTACACATTCGATTCGTCAAGACCTAGCCTAGGATTCCGTGTTCCAAATCCCCCTCTATGTAAAGAAGAAGCCCAATCGAAAACATTGGTAAAGCAGCCAGATTCTCACGTCACTTGACCCCATTTTATTTCTCAATTCATCTGATCTGATCTGATTTGATTTGATTTATTTGGGGTTTGCAAAATTTGACCCAGTCCAAACAATCGACCCAGAATTTCTCAACGAGCCGGGGCAAAACACAGGATGAGATCGAGCTGAACAGTTTGCGCCAGAAGAAAGCCTGGGATCTTGCACTTGCGCCAGCCAAGCAAGTCCCCATGCAAGGATTCATGATGTGGATGAGCGGGACTGGTGTGCAAATCTTCAGGTGAATCTCTCTTGATTCCATCTTAGATATTCTTTCCTCATTCGTTGTCGAGAGAAAACTAACGGTACACGTGGAAACATGTAGTGTGATGATGGTTTATATGTTGATCAAGGGAGCCATCACAGCCTGCATCTCAGTCAACACCACCTTCCAACCATTCGAATCCACCCTCCCATCGAGCTCGACCACCTCACCAGCTTCTTCTTCAAAACGACCCCCGAAAACTCCGAAACCCAAGTCGTTGGTCCCCCAGAAACTGACTTTCATCGCCTGTCAATCGTTGCTATTGCTCCTCGGACTGTGGAAGGTTAATGGGATGGGCTTGTTGCCCACGAGGTTGTCGGATTGGATCATGTACGAAAAAAGACCGGTCAGTTAAACCCAGACACATATATAGTCTATACTCTATTATTGATTCTTTTCATTGCTGATTTTTCGACCTTGGTCTTCGATCTCCCTATGTACCCCCTCTCTCAACTGATTGCAAATGATCGTAATGGGTTCTGCTTGACTTCTGTTCAGTCCTGGGCCCTTCGACAACCCATGGACTCGTTTACAGTTTTCAGTCCTTAAAGTATGACCTTTCTTATTCTTGTTTATTTTGAATTCTCTAAATATATTTCTATGTAAAGAAATGAAACATATAGATCATCAGAAATGAAAAAAAAAAAAAAAACAGTTTCAGGAGTAAAGATGGTTATGTTGTTGTATGTGTGCTTTTCAAGCTGCGTATTACCGCATCATTTTTGCAAGGAAACGGAATCACTGCAGTCCTTCTTCCCTTGATGTGGTGCGAGCCTGGTCAGTGATGAATCCAGGTAAATCCACTGAAGAAGTCACCCAATCTTTGTTTCTTTTATTAGTCTGCTGGTTTCTGAGTTGTTATCTTTGAGTGGTTCATCCCATAGACATTCAATGCCTCCTCATCACTGTGGAGTTTGAGTCAGACTGGAAGCAGTTGATGGTGATGAGCTACACAGGAACTCATATAAAGCACTTGAGATTTGTTTTGGCTGTGCAGTGTGGGGTTTGGTGTGAGGGGTTTGAGTGTGATGGAGGGTGGCTTGTTGAGCCCCCGGTTCCCCTGTCGTACACTTGTTGGATTGGCTCGATCAAATCTCAAACCAGAAAAAAAAGAAATCAGAACAAGATGAGACCAGCTATTCATTCCAATCTGCGGACAATCAAATCAATCTGCCACCAACGAGCGTCAATTCCGAGCCTGCGAACGCTGGCGACCACCGTTAGTATCGATCCACTAGATCGAATCGAAGGAGAAGAGCCTAAACCAAAGCCAAACCAGGATATCAGGGAATATTTCAACAAGCTACCCCATCGCCCAAAGAGACTAGACCACAAGCTCATCAAACCAGACCAATCATCATCGGATGATATCTTGATTCGTTCGTTGGACAAGGGTCGGTCGCCGATAGGAAGTTCGTATGCCAAGGCCCAATCACCCGTCTATTTCCCCAACATTTCGATCCGCTTAGTCAGGCCAAGCTCGACGGATCGAGGCGACCCATTCACGGCGATCTTCAGATGCGATCTCCAGCTGACCAAGCCGGACATCTTCAACTATCTGCGACAGATCTATGGCCTCGGGATCACGAGCATCCGGACGGCGATCTATCGGGGACGGTACGAGCGTCAGATCAAGAGCAAGGTCCGAGGGGGAGTCAAGATCGCCAAGGACAAGAGTCGGACGTTCAAGAAGGTCTGGGTGGGCTTGGACAAACCGTTCTTCTATCCCCCGCAACCCAACCAACGCTTCTTGAACGAAAACTACAACTACCAAGACTTCTTGAACGCCTACAATCGCTCCAGACTCTCCCAAATCAAACATGCCAAACTCGATCGAAACCAGGTCATGCCCTCCGGCGTCCATGATCGTAAGGGCGAACGAGTTAACGTCCTCAGACAGATCTTGGACTCCAAAAAATCGATCCAATCCGAATTGAACGAACACGTCAAACAATCCTTGATCGACTCAACTACCGCACCTTCAACTCCAACAAAGGAATAACCTCGAACATCTATCTATCAAAATTAAACATGTCAGAACCAATCCTGATTGGCTCAAACCTCTGATGCCCGACCAAAAACTGTTGATTAAAGAAGATTTGTAATGTTCGCTGATGATATTCGTGTTCGCAATCCATCATACTTCACCGCGATCTTATTCTTTAACTTCATTCATGCATATACCTACTATATATCCGCTACAAAACTGTCCTTAATCTCAAATTTTCTCTCGTCACATGATTATGAGTGGGTGTGTGTTGGGGGTGCGGCTTGATGGATAGTGGATGTGTTTCAATCCGTGAATGGCTAAGTTGATCCAAGCCACCCAGGCTCCATTTGTGCTGAACTTGTAAACTAAAGGTATCTATTTAGGTGCTTCAGACTACTTACTATCTTAGAATGTCATGAACCGAGTATTCAAACACTAATAACTTGAAGTAGTCCTCCACATTCCATAGATTAGTGGCTCTGACAAGAAAGACAAGAGAAAAATTGTCAAATTGCAGAGTGTTGCGGGGATCCTATTGATAAGATTGGAGTCTCAACCACTTCCCTTGTGTTAAAATGTACTCCAAAGCCAGCTGCATTGGGGGGGGGGGGTTCAATGTTGAACAGAAAAATCAGAAACACTCTCCATTCTTCTATGTTAATATTTTTTTGGGGGGGAAGAATAGGATATATCATGTTTATTATAAAAACTGCTTATTCAATCCCCTTTTGATTTTGTTTTGGTACATAAATTGATGTATATCAACATTGATTCTTTGCTCATGCACAAATTGTCAAATCTCTTCTTCAGTATATCCTTGCACTTTCAACAGTACCTCATATCCAGTACTGGATAAGGAGTAAAAAAAACTGGATATCCAGTGTTTTTTTTTTTTAAAAAAAATGGTGTGAAGAGGTGAACAAAAAAAATATAAAAATACTACATATCCAGGTTTATTTTACTGCACATCCAGTGCGGGATATGAAGTTATGTTTCAAGTGCACACCCGGTCGGTTCCGGAGGGGTGTCAGCGAAAGGGGGCGGCGACGTGGCCGCACTCGGGGCGGGCCCTGGGTGAGCGCATTGTAACCTGCCCCCGGGCTTCACGTCAGACCCCGCAGAATCGCGCGTTCCTATTGGTCAGGATGTGTCCCCTCGACTAAACTTTTTTAAACTTACCAGGCGCGTTTGAGATTCGCGTCATGTGTCGGCTGACTTCACCAAACAGCCACCTTCCACGACCCGCACGACTGCGATAAGCTCGTAGCAGGGTAGCAGGGTAGGGGATGACTATATAAACAGGGAACCCTTTCCGCTCTGTTGTTGTCTCCCATCAACCCATCCATCAAGAACTCAACCATTTCCCATATCCAATCTACCACAACCAGTTCACAACATCATCAAAAATGGCCCGTACCAAACAGACTGCCCGGAAATCAACTGGTGGCAAAGCCCCTCGAAAGCAGCTTGCAGCCAAGGCCGCTCGCAAATCAGCTCCTCCAGCCGGAGGAGTCAAGAAACCTCACCGATACCGGTAAGTTGACCCCCCCTCCCCCCTCATCTCATTCTTGTGTCAACATGGCCACTAAGAACTGTCTGTGTCTCTTTCTTCCTTTTTACTTACAGTCCTGGAACTGTCGCCCTGCGAGAAATCCGTCGGTACCAGAAATCCACGGAGCTGTTGATCCGGAAACTGCCCTTCCAACGTCTCGTCCGCGAGATCGCACAAGACTTCAAGACCGATCTGCGGTTCCAATCTTCGGCCGTCATGGCTCTGCAAGAGTCAGCCGAGGCCTATCTGGTCGGGTACGTCTTCTCTCTTCCGCTCTTCCAATCCAGGGTTTCCCCGATCATCGGTTCTCATCAGCTTCCTTGTCATTTTTCTTTGGGTGTAGATTGTTCGAGGACACCAATCTGGCTGCCATCCATGCTAAACGTGTCACCATTCAACCAAAGGATATCCAGCTGGCCCGTCGACTGAGAGGCGAACGGTCTTAAATCAACCCCCGCTTTCCTCCCATCAATCAATCAATCCCTTTTCTTTTCGTCTTGTTTTGTTTCTGTCCGGCTTTCTATCGATCTCTGTCTCGCAACTGTTGTAGTCTTTCAGTTTTTTTATGATATATACCATATTCAATGAATGTCGTCTGATTCAAAAACCCTTTCAAATCAACCTCGCTTTTTGTGAGCTATCACCTCATGTTGGGCTCTGGGCCTGGACTTTGGTCACACTACCCATCGCAGTTTCTTCATACATGTGCCACACCGTATTGCAGCAGACTCTTGAGTTTAGCATTCTACATACAATTTGAGTACCAGGTAGGTCTTTCATATATCTGAGGAACTTTGAGCCCCCTATGTACCATTCTACTTTGGTCGCATTTTTTGACCAAGGCCCGCAGTGTCTCCATTCTGTCTGACCTGGGAGTAAACACCGTATGTACAACGGATTTGACTCACATTTCCTCATGATCGAACGGATATGCATTGACCTTCATCCAGCTCGGATACCTGGGCTGGTTCCGGATCATTATCCGTCTGTATGTACATATGCATTTATTCATCTCGACCATGACGTCCCCCCGATCATCGACCTTCCTTTGGAGGCCATTTTCGAATCGCCTTGAAAAAAAAGACACGCCAACTTCAGAAAAGGGGAAATCCAACCCCATTTCATCTCGGCCAGGACCAAGTACAACATCCACAGATCGATCGCATAGTCACGCACGCAAAAAAACATGGCCGAAACCACTCCGTCATCGAACTCCGGGCTCTTGGAACTGATGCACATCATCGAAAGATTGAAGACCACCAAACGCGCCGGATGGGTCAGATTGGGCGCACAAGCTCCCGAAAGGTCCGCCCTCACTAAACCCTCTTCTCACTTATTTCACTTGTCTTTTGATGACCACATACTCGTTCATATACTGACCCCCCCCCCCGATCTTGGTGAATTTGGCTTTATAAGTATCTCTGATCATATGTATAGGATGGCCATGTTGGCGATGCTTTCTGAGAAAGACGCGGACCTCGATATCTCAAAGTACCTCCTTGGTCGCTGGCCCTCCCCCTTATTTATTTATTTTCTCTCTTTTTTACACGATCGATTGATTGATGAGTGGGGTTTTGTTGAAAAAAAAAAAAACAGATGTGTGATGTTAGCTTTGGTACATGATTTCGCGGAAGCTGAAGTAGGCGGTAAGTGCTCAAGGATCTCCAAGACCCTACTGAAAAAGCAAGACAAGTAACAGATATGAACCCAGAAAAAGCTGATATGAATATGTCTTATATATACAGATATCACGCCGCATGACGGAGTTTCACGCGAAGAGAAACACAGAAGGGAGTCCTCAGCGATCGAGAAATTTACCACGGAGCTCTTGCCGCCTCAATCGATCCCCAGTCAACGTCTTAAATCGCTGTGGTTGGAGTACGAGGAAGGGCAGACTCGGGAAGCCAAATTCGTCAAAGATCTCGTGGGTCTTCCTTTCTGATCATCCTCCCTTCATCTTCCTTCCGTGATCATCATCTGAACATCTCGCGGCTACTTTTTCTCATCATCAGGATCGATTCGACTTGCTTACAAGGTGTGAATACGAGAAGAGTCAGTTTAATCTTGCTCTTCTTGACT